CTTTCAGATACAGATGATTGCTCTGAAAAACTAGTCCAGGGTGACCCGCCAATATCAGACTGCTGGGAGTGGGAGTGGATTATTTTCACTGGAGCGTCCAGAAAGGCTTCCGTGTGAGCTGAGGCCAAGGTGATCAACAACTGTCCAGAGAGAGTATCCCCAACAGTGGGAACTGGGAGGAGAAAGGCTTCGTGGGAAAAGCAGGTTTTCTGTATTCATGAAACAGAAAGGAGGCCAGACGTCTACAGCAAAGGGTGTGGAAGGAGGGGTAGGACAGTCGCTCAGACTTTATTAGCAAAAATCATGGGCCAAGTCCTCTGCTAGGTACTGGGATGTGAACCCAGAGAAAGCACGGTGCTCTCCTCCAGGGGCCACGGAGTAGCTGGAGAGGTTCACAGAGGATCCATCTGCCTAACGATGAAATGCGACGTGTTTTACATGAGACAACGTGCCACAGCCTCGAACATCTGGAAGGGGACTCCATGGGCCTCCCCAACTGTCAAACCACAGTATTCTCTGCTATTCCTGGAACTGCTATATCTAACTCAATTTCAATCTTGTACATTTCTCAGACGTGTTTATTAACTCATCCCTCCCCAAAAAGAAGTCATCCCACAGTGGCAAAGCCCACATTCTAGATACATGCCAGACGTGCAGCTCAGCCTCCAATGCTCGTTTTCCAGGTGATCCCAAGGAGATCTGTAGAAACGCAACACAGATTCATCTGAACTGACAAGCAACCCGAGGACACTCCGTGAAAACCTCTAGCGAACAACACCCACACCGTGGGGCGCCTCGGGCTCTCCTGCCCTCACTGCTTCCTCCGCATCCCCCTCCCCGGAGGAGCTAGGTCCTGCCCCCGGAGGAGCTAGGTCTTGCCCCCCGGGAGAGAGAGCTCTCCTCTCCGACCCTGTAACAGCCATTTGTTAATGGGCACTGCGCCTCGGCTGTTATTATCTCTCAGCCACTGCCCACCTTTTGGCCTTTTGAGTTGGACCCCAGACTCCAGAGTGCAAAGTCCTCTCACCTCATGTCTTTTCACATCCCAACACCCAGCTCAGTGCCTTTGATTAAGAACCTCTCACTAAACCTTCGCTGACTGATCACAGTTGCATTTTATAATACAGTGATAAAGAACTGTGGTAAGGAGATGATGAACTGGACATAGGCTGGGGATATGTTTGACTTAGCATCACTTATTTCATCAGCCCAGTAAACATCTGGAAGAACAAAGTGCGCACAGCATTACAAAGCATTGTCTCTGCTTTTCAGGAGCTGGCTGCTCCCCAGTCCACATGGAGAGAGAAGACAGACAACACAGGTACAAGATGAAGTGATTGGTGGGGAGATGAGTACCAGGGACGAATCAGAAGGAAGAATTCGCTGGGGAAAGATGTTGCATGAAGTCGAGGAGCAATATCCCGAGTGAATATCCCAGCCTTGCCCCTTGTGTGATTTCAGATGCATTCCCCGCTTCTGGGCCTCAGCTTTCTCATCTGTACAATGGGAATGATTAAATCTAGTTCAGGGAGCTGTTGTGAGAATTAAATGTTACTCTGTGTACAAAACATTCCACACAGTAACTGGCCAATAACTGAAAGAACATTCATCTTATTGAACATTATAATTACTAATGCCTCACAATATGTTTTGAACACTTCCCATCTTGCAGCCTTAATCAAATGTCAACTCTCTGTTCCTCAGTTTCCTCATCTGTGAGATGAAGATAATGATATCCCCTGCATCATAGGGTTTTTTTTATCAGGGTTAAATGTTAACATTATAAGGCTGGATGATGGGTGAGATACTATATGAAACATTTAGAAAACTCCCTAACAAATAGCAAGTGCTCAATAAACCTCGGTTAATATTATTATTACTGCACATTATGTTTCATGTAACCTCACCCTTTTAAAAATAGGCACATAGACTATCAGCAGGAGGGCAGAACGAATGAGGGACTGCAAATTGTTTGACATTGTTTTCAGGCTGTCAATGGTATGTCAGGTGAAAGATTTCCCAATACCTCCACAGGAATCATTGGTGTTAATTAGAGGAAACAAAACATTTTTTTAAAGTTTCCTCACGTTAGAATCTGCTACTGAAAGCATTCATTCTTTGGGGACTGGAAAAGATCCTCCAAAAATGAAACTGGTGAGAACAAAGCAGAACAAAATGAAATTAGAGCAAAAAGTCCTCTGCTGGTTGAGAAGAAAACTACAAGCCTCACCGTCATTGTCACCCACAATGACGTGGCTCTTGGATCCGTGGCACTCCAGGGCCGGGCAGAGGCACCGGGGCCTCCCTGGGTGTGGCTCTGTGCAGCTGGATCACATGCCAAACAAAACAAGAAAAAGGAAGGGACAGAGGGGAGGAGGGAAGGGGAAGAAAGAAGGGACCCACACATACACACAAAACAGCAAAAATAAAACAACCCAGAGCTTTGAACCACTACATTGTTGCAACCTGAAATCAGATTATATGAAAAATCAGCAAATTGTATGAAAAACTATCCCAACTTGTCTCTGTACAAAATGCAGAGCCTGTGTTTGCAGGTTCAAGGGCTCCCACTCCACCCCAACGAGTGCACCCCAACATGGCGGCACTTCCTTGTCCCCGTGCACCAGAGCCTGAGGAGAATAAGGGTCATTCTGCGGAGGCAGGAGCATCCTCTGTGCGGGCTGTCTGGTGAACCCGCCACCCACTTCACATCCTAAATTAGGCCCATGGTCAATGGGTGAGTGTCAGGCAGACTCCAGTTGCTCTAATCCCTGCCCTGCAGGGCTCCGCTCATTGGGGGGCTCTTCCTCCTGGTGTCAGAACGACCATCAGCCCAGCGCTGGCACAGAAGTGCTGGCAAGTGTGTCAGCAGGTCCCTTTCATGCCATGGCTGAGCTGGGTCTCGAGAGGAAGCTTCACCATATCCCATTTCCTCCATCCACACCCAAACAAGGCCAAACATGTGCCATTTGGGCACATGTAAAAATACAAACATTAGTGCCTAAAAGAGACAGGGAGAGGGACCCCAGGATGAGACCAAAAAAGATGCATGGAAAGAAAGACAAAGAAAGATAAGCCAGCCAGTACACGGGAGTGTGATTTTGCAGAGAAGCTGCTGCTCACCCAGGCCCAGGCCCTGCCTGAGCCTCTGTTAAATTGAGTGGCTATCCAGAGAGTTCTGATTTTCATGAGCCTCTGGGGCTGCCTTCTGGGACCAGACCCTGGCCCGTCCAATCCCTCTCACTGTTCCTCCAACATGGGGGCTACCGTCTGTCAGGGGCCCTTTGCTATGTCTTTATCTCCAAATCAAGTAGAACTGGTTTAGAGATACCTCCCATCTTCTCTTTGAAGATATTATCCCAAATGTTTCTCAAATGCTCTCCCCGTGTAAACGTCTCTATTTTATCTGTTGCGGGTTATTCTTTGCAGCCAAAGTTTAAGGACAAAGGAGGCATCCAGAGAATACTGAATGTCATTGACTATATTGCTTTAGACGTTCATTTTCGTTTTTCTCTCAGGTAATCTGAAATCATGGTGCATTTGAAGTTCCCCTGAAATCCCTTCATAAAGCAGATGTACAGTTCTTTCAGGGTGGGAGGTAGATGATTAACCTGTGTTCAGAATAGTCCCTAAAGGCCTTAGTGGAAGTGGTCGGTTCCGGGAAGCAAGGAGCAACTAGGAATTCACTGGGGCAATGGAGGTTAGCTCCCCAAAGACAAAGGGGCGTGGGATGTCTGCAGGCCCTGCGTGGGTCCTTAAAACCCACACCCCTTTGGCACAGTCCTGCCAGTGCCCCTCCTCATCGTCTCCTCTCCCGTGGGTACTGCCTTCCCTGGGCCATCCACAAACAATCCAGTCTTAGAAGAACAGTCTCCAGGGGGCTAAAGAGGGGGCTAAAGAGGGGGCCGCAGCACCAACAATCTTCATGTGCAAAGGACGGGAATACTGCCACGTTGCCTTGTGCTTAGCTCAGTGGCCCAGTTTGGAAAACTTTATTTAAGAGGGCATATTAAATCAAAGAGAGGTAGGAAAATCATTCTTCCCATCCATCTTCTCAACTCCTTCCTCAGGCTGACTCTCATAACACTCCAGGGAGTGAGACTCCACTACAACCACCAATTCTGTGTTGCCCTCCCAGGGGGGTGCAGTGTGTAGGCACTAGAAATTGAGCTAGCATTTCAGGAGGCAGGGTGACCTGGAAGATAGGCACTCACTAGTTTACACAAAACATGACCAAGATTCTCCCTCTCCTCCTCCTCTGGTCCCTGTTAATCCGTAGCCCCAGAGGCCAATCAGTACCTGACTCAACACTGAAACTCAGCTTCCGCGCTAGGTGTACTGTTTTGGTGAACAGCACCAAGTGAGTGCAGTTAACCAGAGTAAATGATACTTTCCACAGACAAATCCGACTCCTCTCCATGGCTCCGATCTCAGAAAGCAGTGCTCAAACAGAAGCACGTCCTGCCCACCAGCTCCTGGCATGAAGGCCCCCAGGAAAGCCCAGGCACAGCCAGGCCCAGGACGAAACAGCAGCTCTGCCAGAGTGAGGCAGCCCAGCTGGCCACTCCCCGGGGCTTGAACAGAGTGAGGGAATTCACAGGAAACCACAGGAGTCCTTTGGGGCTCATTAACTTCAGAGAAGACTGTTCACACTGAGCCCCATCCAGGCCCCAGTCACCATGGCCATCAGCCTGGGGCTGCCACAGTCCTCAATCTTAGGGACTCCCTAGCCCAGCAGCCCCTCATGCTTCCCAAGTCCTGAGGCAAGGAAACCAGCTTTAGGGGAAACAGCTCATCGCCTGAACCTCTGAGAGGTTCCCGATGAAACCGCCAACATTCCCAGGACAGAGCATCCAGCGCATCCATCAACTGTACATCCCAAAAAATCAGTAGCCGTCCTGCCCGCCGCTCCATTGCACACACCTGCACCCCTACCCCTCTCTTCCCACCCCATCCCCCTCAATTCATTGTGAAGTCATTGAAGAATGGCAGCTCCCTACCTGAGGGTGGCGCTCTCCCCCTGCCGGACCGTCACGTTGTCCATAGCTTTGGGGAAGGTGGCATCTCCGCTGCGCACGGGCACTCCTGTGGGTACAAGGAACAGCAGCCTGAGAGACACGACCACGAGGCACTTCCAGGGCAGGAACAGGTACCCACAGACCCCCATCCTCGACAGCCACAACTTCCCAGAACTCCTGCAGCTGCACGGCACACGCCCCCCGGGCGAGCACAGGAAGTGGGTGGGGTGGGGGAGCGAGCACAGGGGCTGAGCAGTGAACTAGCGGCGATCCAGAGGCGCCGGCTAGAGAAAAGCGCGCAGACTCCTCCGAGGCTAATATTCCTCTCCCAAACCCAGCCTCAGCGCTCCAGCCTCGGAGAACCAGTTTCCACAGAGGACATTCACAGGGGGATTCCTTGGTACTGCTCCGGCGGGGAAGGTAGCCGAGAAAGGGGAAGCTCAAGGCAGGTGAAAGGTGTGGGCAGTTCTCAGGAGTCCTTTCTTTCCATTAACAGTTCAGACATGGCACTTTGGAGTGGAATAAGCACTTTGGTACCCGAAGGGGGACGGAGGGTGGGTTACATCCAGCCACGCAGAGGAGGTCTGCAAACCCTCAGTTCGAACAAGGGGAAATCCAACACTTTCTTTGTAAGTTTCAGAGGAAGGATTGCCAGCAGAATACAATCTGTAACAATAGCAGAGATGAAAAGTAGAACACGCAGGAGGCAGCAGGGGGTGTGCGAGGAGAAGACGGCTGTGCGGGATCTGGCCCCGGGGATCCTGCCGCAGCCTCCTAGGTCAACTTCCTCGGAGCCGAAATGCGCGCTGCAGCTGCTGAGACGTAGCCGCTCTCGGCCGGGGAAGTGGCCGCGGCGGCGGCCAGGGCAGAGGCGACCGGACGGAAGCGGACCGCTGCGGCCCCTTGCTCGCTCTCTCGCTCGCTCGCTGGGGAAAGCGAGGCGCAGCCAGCACCGGAGCCGCGCGGAAGCCACGCTTAGCGGCCGCCCCCGGCCTCCGCGCCGCCTTCCTCCCGGGAGCAGCCCCGACGCGCACCGGCCCCGACCGCCCGGGTTGTCATGGCAGCAGCTCCATCACTGACCGCCACTTTCTCCGGTGTCGGCGCCGCGCGAGCAGGCGGACTGCGCGCTCATCCCGGCGGGCGGGCGCCCACCTTAACCCCCACCGCGCCGCGCAGCGCTGCTGCAGTGCACCAGCCAAAGCGAGGAATTTAACCATTTCCCACCTTGAAAAACTGTCACTTGTAAATTAACAAGGCAAAGTTACCACGCGGCTTTAATAAGCCCAAGATATCTTAATAGGGGCCACAAACCAATAAACTAGAAAAGGCAAACCCTGTAGCTTGCATACATGCACCTTAAAAATTATCAAATTAATTCCGTTAGCATTTAGAGTGTTGGGAAGATGTTTTAAAATAATCTCATTTTTTGTTCAATAGCCAATGCCCACACCACCAACCCCCGTCTCACGAAAGCTAGTTTAAAACATCAGAGATGAGACGCAACCATTCTAAATAGAGATCTTCCATATACAAAACAACTGCAAAATCACGGAAGCCTCTTAGTGTGTGAAACTGGCAAAATTGCACCGAAATTTTGATCAAGTTCTGACTTACATTCTGTATCCTTGTCGACATTAAAAGATTCTAGCCCTTCAAAAGAGCTCACTCGGAAGAACGAGTGTGAGCCTCTCTGACTTTATTCATGCAGTGGACTCCTAAGTTTCCTGGGCTTCGCACTATCGCAGAGCTGATTTCACCTTAATAGGTGTGTTTTTCCAATTTTTGAAGCCTAAGGAAAAACTGAATTCCTCTCAATTCCCGTCACTTTCCCTCTCCAGGTGCTGTGGGTCCCTGGGCACCTACATTTTTATTTCTCCCTTAACTTCAGCTCTGATGGGAATGCTGTGCGTTCCCCTTCCTGGGCCTGGCTCCTGAGAAATGGAGGGAAGCCCCCAGCGACCCAGCCTACACAGCAGGGCTAACACTGATATGTTGCCTTCTCAGGGACTGCAGATCTGAACTCCCTGCACCGACCCATACTCTCCCCCTGGGGACAGAGAGGAGGCAAGAGTGGCTTTGTTTTTTCCCTCAACTTTCTGTAAAATCTAACCAGGAAGATGAGAGATAGATAGATGATAGATAGATAGATAGACAGATAGATAGATAGATAATAGATAGATAGAAAAAATGTGCATGTATGTATATATATACTGTCAAATAACAGAAAAATATTCTTTCTGAAAAGCCATCTAGCCAATACCAAAGAGTCAGAATCATTATAAGGGTCCAAGTACCAAACATTCCTTGCACCTCGAAGGTAGCAACCACCACTTTCATGTAAGTAACATGTGTGTTAGGATGACACAAGCATTTCCCCTGTCACATGCCCCTCACTGTAACTACTTTAGATTGGTAGGGACTGAGGTCAGGTTTGCAGGTGTGGAAGCCAAACTGTGGGGTAGCAAGAAGAGCCTGAGCAGGCTGGCTTTTCTCTTCTGAGAGCTGACCAGGAAGTGATCAGCGCTGAAAAGCTGAGCAACGCTACACTGAGGATCTCAATGAATCTATCATTAGGCCTGTTTTTCCTGCTTTCCTCTGGTGACTTTTTTTAATATTAAATTCTCAGGGAAACTCATCTGCTACTTTTGGCCAGTGGGGACCATTTGATATATAGCACCCCCAAAAATCAATTGTCAACTTACGGCCACAGCGAGAGACTTTACTACCAGGGTGGGGAATGACATTTATGGAGAGAAGGAGAGTTTTGCTTCTATTTTTGAAAGAAAAGGAGGAGAATTCTCCTATTCTAGCACGAGTTTACTCTTGCAAGTCCCTATTTCGCCTCCATTTTACAATGGACAGTTAGGGAAGTAGGAAATTGAGAGATTTCACCAAGTTAAGATATGATGTGGTAACAGACGTACGGTATGATATTATGTTTTCTGATGTTTAGATTGCTGAATTGGGGGTTCTCCTTTCCCCAAAGCCTAAGAACTCACCTCTACTCATCCAACCATTCTAACCACCCCCATTCTCACCCCTCCGCCAACCCCTCTTTTAAATGCATCCTCACCGCCTCGTGTGGAAACAAAGGCTGACCATGAGGAAGGAGAGGGACTTCTCATGTCTTTGGAGCCATTTCCCTGCAGGCCGGAGAATGGCAGTGATGATTCCTTTCATGATAAATTCTAATCCTGGCTTTTGCATCTAATTCCTAGGTAGGTACAAATGAGCATTAGTTTTTTGCATCTAGGAATGTAGATAATGACAACAGGCTTTCCCAAGGGGCCTACGTACATGATTAACTCTACAGTAAAATACTTAGAAATCCATTTAAGGTAGAAGATGTTCTATTAATACATTTTGCCTGCCACTAGTTCATTATTATGGCTGGGCAGAAAAATAATTCTTCCTCCGGGCTCTTTAAGACGTTCAGTTTATACCAGTGTGCATGCAGTTGATCTAAGACAGTCAGACCATCTTTGTCTCTGGTCGTGAAGGGACAGTGCGGAGCAGCAGCATCTCAGCATCCACTGAAAGGACACCCGGCAGAGCTCAGGTGCCGCTCAGGATGGACAAAGAAAAGCCACTCGCAACTTCATACCTGCTCTTCAAACTCAGGGATCTAAACTTTATTCAAAAAGGCAAGTTTAGAAAGTGGAGAAAGATCAGAGAGGCCCTCACAATTAACAAGGCAGAATCCACTTCTTTCAAACCCTTTCCTTTACTGAGGTGGTTTGAATAGGTGAAGATCAAAAATCACATCAGCTCCCTCCCCATCCCCTAATCACTAAATAGAACCAACATTTAGTGGCTTATCTTCTCTCCTGTATATTGCCTCATAAAAACTGCTGGATTTATTGTACTTTCCCCAGCATATTCAAGTTAATGAAAAAGGGATGACAGTCAGAGCAATTTCATTATTTGTGTTCTTTATAGAAACAACTTCCTTTCTGCCTCCTGGAAAGCAGATTCCTAATGAGCACTCACCTCCACCTACTTCCCCATCTCCCTCGCCTCCCTCCCTCCTCTCTTACATACACATATAGTGTACACATAAATCAACTTGTCACAGCTTGTCTCTGTGCTGACAGCTGTAATTGCTTCAGGTTATAAAAATATCTGTAGGACAATGCCTTTCAAACACACGCACACACACATGTACACACAGCTCAAGCAAAAGAAAACAATCATATTCCCTTTAAGTGTCCTGTGACTGCAAAGGGGAGCTGAGCAGGAGCCTGCCCTGCACCCTGGGGAGTGCTGAGGGGCAGGTGAGGAAAGAGGTAGATGGAGAATTAGGCAGAGGCAGCATCTACACACTACAACAGGGTTGGAACCGGAACAATTTCCCATGAAAGGGAAATCAGCTGTTGTTTTTGGTTGACTCTGCTACCTAGAGCAGGCCCCGGGTTAGCTAAAGAGCTGTGAATATTCTACACAGGAGACCAAGAAAGGAACTCTGGCTTAAGAAATGCCAGTTTCTCTTCTCTAAAAAGGCTAAAGGCCCCCCTCTCCTGGTAGAGATTCCAAACTGGAGCGCAGGTGAGAAGATGGCAAAGGCAGGGTGGCTGCAGTGGCATGGCACCGAACTGATATTGCAAGGAGGAATCAGAGAAGGTGGTGTAGATCTGGATAAAGAGATGTCTCCAGAGGAGCAGGGCAGGGCTGGACTCTGGAAGAATGCATGCTATCCCTCCTCCCATATGATTATAGGATCAAAATAAAATTGTTTGACTGGGCTGGAGTCTAGCATGCTAGGATTTCAGCAGGAAGAGTGAAAGAGGGGAAGAGGCTTCCATGGAGAAAAAATGAGGTCACTAACAGAATGAGGAGGATAAGAAAGAAATAGCAAAGGCTAGACTGTGTGGACCTTGAAAGCCACCAAACTTCATAAGAGATACATGAAGTGCAAAAATGGCCAGTGGAGCACTTGATAAGTAGACAGAAAAGAGAAAGGAGCAGAGTGAGTAATCAAAATTGACACACCTTGAAAGCGAAAGCCAGACACCCAAAAGGGAATATCTCAAGAGCCAGAGGTTTGTGGGGAAGAATCTTTCCTCATCTTGGTTTTGGCTCATAATGAGACCCCGGATTCCTGGGATCACAGAATCATACAGTCACAGGGAACCTTCGAAGATGTATAGTATCACGCCCTCATTTTATAAATGGGGGGTTGAACCCCAGGAGAGACGAATAATTGCTGCAGGAACTAAAGTTAATAACTGGTGAATCAGGACTAAAACTCAGGACCCCTGCTCCTGTCCAGTGTTGTCTGCACTGTACCTGCCAGGAAAGGGCATTGCATAAGAGCTAAGTAGTAAAGTTAGTCCTTCCTTTGGCTGCTCTGTCTACAGGCAAGAGAGAATTATAGAGGAAGTCATGTCATTACTGCCCAGTGTATCTCTGGGTATTCAATTATTCAGCTGCATTCAGTGCTTTCAGTAAACTTTAATGAATAGGGTTTCAGATCCTTCTATGTACCAGGAACTGTGTTCAAAGTTAGAGACACAAGATGGAAGGCATAGCCTCTGCCATGGATTCGCTTACAGTATTGGGCTTGTGGGTGGTTTTATGTGTGTACACATTCCTGATTGTTGAAGTTATAATGAATTCAACCCTGTGCTCCCTGTAGGCCCTTGAGAACACGCTTGTTGCTGAGAAAACCAAGCTGAAAGGCACCTACTCTTTGGAACAGTTTTTCCCATTACTTGTCCTGATATTCTGTTGGGAACCTTGCCCCAGGTCTCGAGCACCTACCCATTTGTTCTAGGTAGGTGGTCAAGCTCCAGTTGACTGCTCTGCGGGCCAGAGCAATATTCAGGCACTGACCATGGTTTTCTATGCTTTGGGTAGAGTGGCATTAGGAGGGGAAGAGTCCCAAGGAAGGGACTCTTCCTTGGTTTATAAATCCTTATAAATCAAGGATTTATAAATGCAAGGAAGAAATGCATCTACTCAACAAACAAGC